TGTGTGTGTGTGTGTGTGTGTGTGTGTGTGTGTGTGTGTGTGTGTGTGTGTGAGAGTGTGTGTGTGTGTGTGTGTGTGTGTTTCTCTGTGAGTGTTATGTGTGTATGTGTGTTTAACGCTGTGTCTCTCTGTGTTCAGCCTAAGCCCAATTTTGATGAGATGTCTCCTGAGCTCACGGCACTCTTGCAGTCCACTCGCAGCTGGACTCCGTCTGCGTCTCCCGCTCCGATCACGCAGACAATCGCATTACACAAGGTGCAGCTCTGAAGAAACTCTAGAAATGAGTCTGTCCTCGATCAGACTTGTGTCTGTCAGACATCATGTCATTTCATTTTTACTAAACGGGAGCAGTGTTGATATTATGCTTAGTATTTTTGTCTTGTTTTGTATTTTGGTTTTGTCTTTTCCAGTACAAAATATCTAAATGTTCTTAAGTCAAGATACATTTAGTGGAGAAGCAAAATTACTTTTTTACTTGTGGAAGATTTGATAACATCAAGTGAGTTTATGCTTAAAACAACGACAAAAATCTGTCAGAAAAATCAACTTCATTCAAATGGAAAAGAAGATTATTATTCTTATACCATGGGCAGATATTTTTTATAATTGTAACCATAAACTTGCTTAATTTTGATCATTTCTATCAGAAAACAAGAATGAATATCTTACGTCATTTTGCTTTTTAAGTAGATGTATGTTGATTTAGAAAAGTTTAGATATTTATAATGGAAAAGACAAACACAAAGTTCGGCCGTTCAGTCAAATGAGCCAATCACATTTTTGTTGAAGAGTTTAATTTAAAGCTAAAGAAGCTAAATTAATGCTGTGATTATTGGTGGTTTGACATGATTTTGTAGTGTGATCTCAGTGAATAGTTCTTGAGATGTTACAAACGGACAAAGCTATACACTGCAAAAAATTATTTTCTTACTTAGATTTTTGTCTTGTTTCCAGCCCAGATATCTAAAAAATCTTAAATCAAGAAGGATTTTCTAGACAAGTAAAAAGTATTGTCTTGTTTACAGAAAAAACAAGTCAAAATTAAGTGTTTTTTGCTTGAAAAAAGCAAAATAATCTGCCAATGAGGTAAGCAAAATAATCTTGTTTTCTGTTTGAAATAAGATTATTTTGCTTGTTCTAAGGAAAAACTCACTTAATTTTGACTTGTTTTTCTGAAAACTCATTTTCACTCATCTAAAAAATCCTTCTTGATTTAAGAATTTTTAGGTATCTTGGCTGGAAACAAGACAAAAATCTAAGTAAGACAAGCATTTTTTTTGCATTGTACTTTACTAGTTAGAAGATATAAAAGCTGCTAATTCATGATGTTTTTGTTGTTGATTCTGTTTGGTTTTCTGCCTGTTGATCATATGTTCTTTATTTCTCTGGCAGCCATCAGAGAGTCCAGAGAGTCATCCGGCTGAAGAAGAGGATCAGCAGCCGCCGGCAGAGGAACTTCAGCCTCAGGTACCTGAGCCTCCAGAGGGCCCCTGGGAGCCTGCGGTGTATTATCAAGCGTGTGTGGAGCCGCTGAGCTCAGTGCGAGCCCTCGACGAGTCTAATTTTGACTTGTTTTTCTGAAAACAAGACAATAATTTTCACTCATCTAAAAAAATCCTTCTTGATTTAAGAATTTTTAGGTATCTTGGCTGGAAACAAGACAAAAATCTAAGTAAGACAAGCATTTTTTTTGCATTGTACTTTACTAGTTAGAAGATATAAAAGCTGCTAATTCATGATGTTTTTGTTGTTGATTCTGTTTGGTTTTCTGCCTGTTGATCATATGTTCTTTATTTCTCTGGCAGCCATCAGAGAGTCCAGAGAGTCATCCGGCTGAAGAAGAGGATCAGCAGCCGCCGGCAGAGGAACTTCAGCCTCAGGTACCTGAGCCTCCAGAGGGCCCCTGGGAGCCTGCGGTGTATTATCAAGCGTGTGTGGAGCCGCTGAGCTCAGTGCGAGCCCTCGACGAGTCTGAGTCTGAGTCTGACAGCGACTCCAGCAGTGTAAACTCTGCTAACTTCTCTGGGCCCCTCACGCACGGCCGGTCCCCACAGCGACAGCGAGTCTGGAGGAGAGAGCTTCTCTCTGTCCACTGATGATGATGATGATGATGAGCAGTCGCCCAACAGGAGCCCCTCCGAGCAGAGGGGTGTGGCTGAGGGTCACAGTGGGGAGGTAGAACTGACCGCAGGTTTAGAGGTGACCTCATGACCTCATGACCCCGCGACCCCAAACCTGAACCCCCAGAACATCCACCCTCTCCTCACTAGCGCCGGCGTATAGTGTGTGTTTGTGACCATTCTCAGACCAACAATGAGCTTCTTATGAGAACATTCAGTTTTCACAACGTGTGTGTGTGTGTGTGTGTAGGTGTGTGAGCTCACACTCATCTCATCCACCACAAACACACTGAAGAATCTCATCTCAGTCACGCTCCTTCAAGACAGCAGTGAGATTAAACAAAGATGTTTGTTTAGATATTTCTAATGTTACAAAATGTTTCTATTTCAAATAAATGCTGTTCTTTTGAACTTACTATTCGTCTGTGAATCCTGAAAAATAAAATGTATCACAGTTTCCACAAAAATATTGTGCAGCACGACTGTTTTCAACATTGATGCAACAAACAGACTAGAGCACTGTACTGTTCAGGCACATAACTATACTCTCACGTATGTTTTTAGAGTTGTGTGTGTGTGTGTGTGTGTGTGTGTGTGAGAGATCTCTGTCTCTTTTCAATATGATACAATACCATGCCATTAATGATTAATAAATAATTAAGTAGATAATAAGGAAGATTTCCTGCTCTCTGTGAGTCGACACTTTTCCTGCTGACTGCAGCTGCTGACTGCATAAGCGTTTCTTCTGAAAGATCATGTGTTCGGTCTGTTCTCTCCCAGAACTCCTCGTTCCTCCTCGTCTCTTTCCCAGTGTCTGTTTCCATCAGTTATTGGGAATCAGTGATTGTTCATTTACGTGATTACCTGATTGATGTAGACTAGAGCAGTTAATAAGAATGAGTGAATGTCTGTATGATGTGATGTATGTATATGACACACTTGTGTTAGTGTGTGTGTGTGTGTGTGTGTGTGTGTGACGAGTCTCTCTTCTCTCTGTCGCTCCTCAGTCAGGTGTGGTGAGTTTCTCCAGGACTCTGTCAGGAGACACGGACACACAGATCCACACGGAGATGAAGACCATCACATACGAGTCCCTGCCGGTGTGTGAGCTCACACTCATCTCATTGTAATAATATTTCACAATTCGACTGTATTTTTGATCACATAGATGCAGCATTAGTGAACAGAAGAGACTTCTTTCAGAAACATTAAAACATCTTGAATGTGGTGTGATGCTGTGTTTTGAGTGTTGTTGGATCGTTGCAGGGCGAGACGGATGGAGACGCTGATCCTGGCATTCTGCTGAGCGCTCAGACCATCACATCAGAAACCACCAGCACCAGCACCACCACACACATCACCAAGGTACTGACCGCTGCTGCGTTACTGACCATCAGAACCATCCACGTAACGGCTCTGTGTGTGTGTGTGTGTGTGATCACGCCGGAGGAGTGATGCAGGTAAGACCACAGCCAATCACAGCTTGAGTAGGCTTGGCTGACTGCGAGCTGATTGGCTGCTGTGCTGCGCTTTGGAGCGCTGCTATTGGCTGCTGTTCTAACACCGGTGCTGCTTTGGCTGTTTACATGTGCGGACGTCTGACTGCTGCTTTCAGAGTGTGAACTAACTACTCACACCTGTAACAGAATGACATGATGATCGTCTGTGTGAGATCAGGAGCAGATGTGGTTGAACACACTGCATTCTGCTGGTAGAGAGCTGTACTGCAGATCATCTCCATGAGTCATGTGACCACATGATGACGCTCACTGAGATTAATAGTGTTGACTAACCGTTTACTAATCTGGGCATTCACCCAGAGTTAAATAGCAACAACCCAGGACATCATAGTAACCATATAGCAACTGCCTAGAACACCCTAGCAACCACATAGGAACAGCCCAGAACACCATAGTAACTAACCATAACACCAGAGCAACCACACAGCAACTGCCCAAATCACCCTAGCAACATCCAGAACACCCTAGCAACCACCCAAAACAACCCTAACAATCACATAGTAACCACCCATGAAACCCTAGCAACCAGCATCCTGAATACTCTAACAACCAACCAAAACAAACATAGCAACCACATAGTAACCACCCATAACACCCTACCAACCAACCAACCAGAACACCAAAATAACCCTAACGACCACATAGTAACCACCCAGAACACCCTAGCAACCAACCAAAACACCCTGACAACCAACCAGAACACCAAAACAACCCTAACAACCACATAGTAATCACCCAGAACACCCCTTGCAAGTAACCAAAACACCATAGCAACCCTAGCAACCACACAGAACACCAAAACAACCCTAACAACCACATAGTAACCACCCATAATACCCTAGCAACCAACCAGAACACAAAAACAGCCCTAGCAACCGTCCAGAACACCCTACCAACTACCAAGAACACCATAACAATCCTAGCAACCACATAGTAACCACCCAAAACACCCTAGCAACAAGCCAGATTACCATAGCAACTGCCCAGAACACCAATGCAACTCTAGCAACCACCCAAAACACTCTTAACAACAACCCAGAACACCCTAACGACTACCCAGAACACCATAACAACCTAGTAACCATCCAGAACACCATAACAACCCTGTAAACCACATGGCAACTGCCCAGTACACCCTAGCAACCACATAGCAATGCCCTGGAAACCACCCGGAACTCTGTCATTGTTGCACGGGAAACACCACTGACATTTTCCTGAGGAAAATGTAGATCTTCAGTTTCAGTGAGATAATGTTGAAATGGAGGCATGTTACTGAGGCCTGTGTTTTTATGTTATTTAAAATGCATGACGTGTTTGACATCATCACTGGCAGACTCACGTCAAGCTTTGCTCCTCTGAAGGTGTTATCTGTTCCTTCACTGCGTGTTCCGGTTATTGACTGAATGTTCTGTTTTGTTCATTTTCAGGATTAACATCATCTTCATGCTTGCTGGAGGAACTCATGTGTTCATGCTGTGGAAAATGAAGGATGCTTCAGAGAAATCAACACGGGAACAGCAGCATAAGCGAATGAATTGCAGCAAACGCCATCTGAACACGTCTGGAGTAACGCACACACACATGCTCACAGGCACCGCACTGGATCACTGTTACCGCATGACAAGGGAACAATTCTGCTTTTTGTGAGGAGACTACAGTATATAGACATTTTAGTAAATACTTTATGAGCGCAGTGTATAGTCAAACCACAAGCTCATCATAAAGGGACTGAAGAATATGTGTGAGAGGAAATATAACGGTTACAGATATCTACATTTATTTATTCTACTGAATACTGCTCACTTTAAAAAAGGACAAACTTTGCACAATATTTAACCGCGCAAAAATGTGCCATCCACACTCCGTCGGCTCATCTCTGATCTGCTCACGTCATTATGAGAATATGAATATGCCACACTTGTATGTTAGAGACGTGTTATGTTGTTTTTACTTGAGTTATACACCTGTTTTTGTTTCTTTTTGAAAACTGTCGCTTGTGAATGTTGAGTTTAGAGGAATGAAACTCTCCGAGAGCTGTTGTAATGACGACCTGAAATATCAATCCCAGAGATCTCCCTGCCCTGAGTGCCACATCTGAGCCTTAAACTGGACAGACGAACCCCATGTGTGTTTATGTCCTTGTTTGTTTTCCAATGCAGCGTCGCCGCCCTGCTGGCTGTTTCCCACGCAAGCAACTCCAATAAAATCTCAATTCCATTTCTGATCATTTTGCAGTTTCCATTCATCCTTTTGCATTGAGACATGCGTGAAGAGAATATGCATTCATTATAGTATTTCTTACGGAAAATTTCAATAAACTAATTCAAAGAACCAATCAATTTTTGTGTTATACAAGATTATTATATAGTTGTGTATGTCACTGAAACAATCCAGTTTTGCCCAGTGCAGATGATTTGCTATTTAAAGATTTGCACAGAACGGGACTTTATCGTTATTTTGAAATAATTCAAATTAGTGCCACATAAAATATTGATTGTGAATGTCTGCGCAACACAGAACTCATTTGGTGATGATAGTCATTCAAAGTGTAATATGGTATTGGCATTGTTTTTGGGAAATGGTATCATGGTAATATCATGTTTTGGACATGCGCCAAAGGTAATACAAGTGTAATCTGTTAGGAGAACCATAAATATGATGCAGGAATATGGCAATCACCACGTACCATGGTAAAAAACAAAACAAAAAACACGATTTTATTATCATCCACCATCACTGTACCACGATAAAGGGATTGTCCTCCCAGAAATTAAAAATCTGTAATGATTTACACACCATCATGCCATTCCAAACCTGTATGACTTTATTTCTTATGTAAAGATATTTTGAAAAATGTTTGACGAAACAAAGTTTCGGTTCCCATTCACTTCCATAGTACAGACTAAAAATACTATGTAAGTCAATGGGACCCAAATCTGTTTGGTTACATTACATTCTTCGGAATATCTTCTTTTGTGTTCTAATGAAGACAACATGTTTGTAATGACATGAGGGCAAGTAAATAATGACAGAATGTATTTTTGGGTGTACTGTCCCTTTAAGGCTAAATAGCCAATGCGATTTCTAGTTCATTTTTAATCACCTGGTTGTTTAGCGTTGCAAACCAAAACTAAGAATCATTTGTTTTACATTAAAAACTACAATTTTTTTTTTTGTTCAGCAGGTCAATAGGTGAACAGTTCAGATCCTATAAATGACTGCATTAATCTTAAACGCGCGTGCGCTCGCTCCTCCCGCGCGTCACTTGCGTCATTTGCGTAAAGCGTGCCTGCGCATCTCGCCGTGTGCGCTGTTTGCGTAGCCGTGCCCGTGTCTACGTACGCGCTTCGGTCACTCGCCCTCCGCAGCAGTGTTGCCAAGTCCGCCGATTTCCCGCGGAATGTAGCTACTTCAACACTGTTGCCGCGGGCTGTTTTTCATTCCCGCGGGTTAAAGCAACCCCAATAACCTGATATTTAGCGTAAACATGTATAGATGCCATATTCTACCGATCCAGACACGTTGACGCGTCCGCCATTTTGGAACGGTCAACTTGACGTCATTCACCATAGTAATCAATGCGTATTTAAAGATATACATGCATATAACTAGCTTTTGTACAGGCACAGCCACTAGAAGGCAAGCCTGCAACCATTAGCCAAAAAAGCATAACGGCTAATGCTAACGGAAAGGAGACCAGAGGCTGTTTTATTGAATGGGTGTCAGTGGAAGAAAGGCTTCACTACGCTGAATAAACAGCTTTTTAGAGGAAACAGCTCATCATTTAACGAATCGACAGCTATCTGCTAATCTTCAATAGGTTTTACACTAAACAATTCTTTTGGATTGAACTATTTTTAGGGTTTACCACAAAAACAATGTGTATATATTTCCAGTGTTGGGAAGGTTACTTTGGAAATGTAATAGGTTACAGATTACAAGTTACTCTATTTAAAATGCAATAGTAGTGTAACTATTTCAATTACTTTATTAAAGTAATGTAACTGATTACATTTGATTACTTTTTGATTACCCGTCTAAATTTCTAACGAATGTTTTATTTTAAAAATTATTTTAAAACATTTAAGGCAGAGTTAACTCAACACTGATTACTGTCAGACTTTCATAATAAAGATATTATACTCATTTAATTTTAAAGCACAGCCAGCACAAAATCAGACTTTAGCAGCTCTTTTTACTTTGAGATCATTCTGAGGTTAAATACAGATTTAAAATCATAACAAGAAATAGTTTAATAGCTACTGTTTTTGAAATCAAATCTTTACATAGTTATGTATTATGATTGTTATTATATTTTAATTATTTATTATTTTTCTTTATTTATTTTCCCCTATTAATTATGTAATTGAACCTTTGTCATATGTCCTTCTGTTTTTATTTGGGATCACTGGGTTGGGTATAGGATGTGAATGTTATAAAATGTAAAAGTGCAACTTTGTAATAAAAATTATACGGCAAAAAAAAAAAATCTTTGCATAGTTATGACAGGGCATCTAACAATGCCTTGGAAAAAACGATTAATTCTTAAAAAATTCTTAAAGGGTTGGTTCACCCAAAAATTAAAATTAGGCTGCGTTTTACTCACCCTCAAGTGCCTTTACTTCCACTATCATATCTATCCTGGATAAAACAGTTCCATTAAAGAAAGTCTCTATCACAAACACAGATAAGCCTTGGATGACTGTTCAAATTAAAGATCTGTTAAAAGATAGGCAGTGTGCTTTTTGTTCTGGCGATAAAACCTCTTATAGGAAGTTAAAGACCGTTGTTTTGTTTTGATCTCTCCGCTGCGCTTAAAACACAACCTAATTTTAATTTTTTGGGTGAACTAACCCTTTAATTCAATTCTTAAAAAATAAAGCATATACATAAACCCAAATAGGAAATAAA